CATCTATCCGGGAAGCGAGGGAACCCACCTGGACTTTTATGTCCCGTTGGTCCTCGTGATATACTCTTGGGACGGACTCTACAAAAAAACTCTGCTTCCAATAATTCTTTTATTGTTGCATTACGTGGCTATCGACACGGATCGCATAGAGAACAGCTTTACCAGTAGTACCTCCATTGGCTACATCGCGTGGCGTGACGTGTTTAATTGTTGCATCACAATTTATTATGCTACTGACTAGCAATGGCTGCGTCTTCTATTCCCCATGTCAAAATATTACTACGAATTTAGTAGAGAAGTTTTGTTTGCCTTGAACAGTTTACTTAGGAGTATCAAGTTTTAATTTTAGTGAAGACTCACATCGTATCCCTTTGACTAATGAATTCAGGAAACTCCTCCTTTCAATGTTGGTGCGGGGGCGTTTGAACAGGCCTGGTATGTTAATGACTACAGTAGAATCTGTGGATGTTAACTGCGACAAATTTTTGCTTGATCACGAAACATCTTTCACCAGCCAATATGTACGGATCATAATGCTTAAAATTCTAAATAATTTTATGCACAAATGCCTTATTTTCGAAATGTTAAGTATTTTAATTCAATGCTCCTTATGTAATTCTGGAGAAGGTATCTAACCATACATTTTATTTCTCTGCTCATAATGGCTACCTAGTAATAGCTTTGTTACGATTAAAATTCGATTCGGAATAACCACTTTACAAAATCCGCATCACGTAACATATTGCTGTGTCCTCCACACTCGACATATAACAAGATATTTTCTAAATCTGTCACTGCCCCTTTTAACTGCTCTGCAAAGCCGGCTGTTTCTTGCTTTGCCTGTGGGGTATGACGTCTACGGTATTTCTTTACTGACATGTATGCGTATGTATGTGTGAGGGGATTGAAACGTTATAGTGGTAGCACTGAAAGTATGGAAATAAACATGTGAGTTTACCGAATCGAGCAATTTACAACACCATGTGAGAACAAGCTACGGCATGCAAAAAATGTACCTGTACATGGGATACAAATAATGAATGTACGTATAAAATTTAATTTGTTTCAAATAAATTCTGTATTCTGTACGTCACTTGGTAAAGAATACCGCTGTTTAAATATCATTTTTGAATTTAACTATATTTAATCATTCTCTGTGCGTTATCATATAAAGTTTCACTTACTTACTGAATATTTATATAGCCTGCTTGATATATGAGTATGTGAATACACTAATTTGTTACATGAACTAGCGCATAATACGAGGCCAAAAAGTCCGAGAGGCCTGTGACATTATAATTACGGCACAGTTCACAGTACATACCAACTTCTCCGACAAATACCCGCGCCCGTTCAGCACCGACGCCACCGACTGACTACAAGGAGAAAAGGCGAATCAGTGTGTCTTCCCGCCCGTCTTGCCGCTTACAAACGGGAATTCGCAATCCTGTCACGTGATACCAAGCCGGACAATTTATGTATTAATGATATTATTTAAACAGTGCATATATTTACGTATTTTTAGTTATATTTTTCACCGTGAATATTATTAAGCAACTTTATCGGAAATAGGAATTGATTTTATTAAAACAGTACTTACAGAATGAACAATACTGTAGGTCTAATACATCACAGTCGAGGGCCTTGTATCTTTCTTAGGATATTTCACAGTGATGTTTTATTTACTTATTAATTCTTGGTTTATTACCGAAAATTTCAATAGTTCAGACGGGGGTTCAGTTTAAGTAGCAAAAAATGTAAGCTATGGGAACAGTATTTACACGAGATGAAGGACGAAAAATGGCGGCAAGTTATATTGTCACGATCTTAGAGCGACTTTGGATAGGATTTTGATTGATAACCAGATTTATTGAACTCTTACAACTCGTAACTAAAAGTGAGGTTTATGCTCACTGTTCTACACACTTCACAAATCACTATAGGACACACTAGGTCTTCTCAGTCTGTTACAGTCTTCACTAGCCGTTGCTTGGTAGAGACTTCCAATGGCGGACGTTTACCTTTCTCTGGGTTCCTGAACTGTCGCTGGCCTCAGCTATCAATTTGTCACAGCAACAGCTCACAATAACAGAACACCAGTGGTTTTCTAACTGCTCCTGCTTATAACATCTTGGCACGGACACAAGGGCACACCTCACTTTGGTGCAGAGTAAAGGTAAAAAGATAAAGCTATCCCTGCAACTGGCCATGGAGGCCTGTAGGGTTATGAGAGGTTGAGGCTCCCACATTCTCTAGACAATCAGCTCACAGATTGTGCTGAGGTTGTCAGCCTTACCTGCTGGCCGCTCTTTACCCCCCAGGTAGATTCCTGGTACTAATTTCTGTTAAAGGTTGAGTCGATCCCAGGGCCATAGTTCGGCTGGAAGGATTAGGTAAATTGAAAAAATCCACCTCATCGGTACTAGGACCGGCGACCTTCCGGCTTGCAGCATAGTGCCTCAAGCATCTATGCTACCATATGCCCCTGGTGCAGAGTTATTGGTAAAAAAGGTCACTGTTGAAAACAAGAAGTAGTAGTCTAAAACAGAACTGTCTTCAGTAATTGCAGAGTTTATATTTTATCATGAGGCGCCACAAAATGTGTTTACTGAATATGTGGTTCTCTCCCACCCCAATTCCATGTCTCTTACTCTGTTGTGTTTCCTGTTTCCATTTCTGTCTTCTTTCAAATTCCAAAAGGAGTAATTTCCTTACCTTCCTCCCTGATGATGATGGGAGATAAGTATACAGGATCTTTACTTTGGTTGCCTTCACTATTTCAAAGTCAGCAGAATCGTTAATGACAACTTCCTGACAACAGCATTGGTAATAAAGTGATGTCATGGAACTGACTGGGTTACCGCGCTAGAAACAGGTGATACAAGCAGATTAAACTGAAAAATGCACCATTCAAGCACATGGCTATTGAGACAACTAACAAAACAGCACCTGTTTGCTTTGCCTTGGATATGTTCCCATGAGCTGCATGAAAACAAGAGAGAGAGAGAGAAATCACATGCAAATACAAGCATTAATATATGACTGCAGGAACTCACATGTCACTACATCATGTAGATACAATACAAGCTCTATTATTGAAGAAACTACACATTTTGGGCTAACGAATGATGAAAATTTCATGTAAATATTCCAGGTAACCTTTTACAGCAGATTTTTTAAGTATGTAAGATTTGAGGTTTTCAAGGAGGTGACTGGGATGTGGCACCGTGTAGATATTGTGTTAACTGACTTTTTGGAGGAATGTATCGCCTCTATTTTCAGGGTGTAAGAAATCCGTGAGCAATGAACCAGCATGAGCATGTGGCTGTTCACGCTGGTTCATCAATCGTGGATTTCTTATACCCTGAAGCTGGAGGCGATACGTTCCTCCGAAACATTGATTAACACAATATCTACACGGTGCCACATCCCAGAAGACGGCATTCTTAAGTATGATTTGGATATCTTTAGTTTGTTTGGCAATGTTGCTGCTGCTGCTGTTGCTACTACTAGTAGCAGCAGCATTACCTATGCTGGATTAAAAATCTTAACCCTTCTGCGACGGATAGTATTTAAATCTTTTCCTACCACCAAACCGACGGGGTATTTAATTATTAAACAGAAAAATGCACTTATCCATGAAAAATTTAGTAACTCTCGCAAAAATAGGTATATTGAGATAAATTTTTCACAGAAATATTCATAATGAAACGAAGAAGAAAACTATATAAAAAATTTTAATATAATTATGATAAATAATATTTTTTTACTCACTCGAACTGCTAAAAGTTGAGTTTGGTGTGGTAATCCTGAAAACAATGGTCAGTACGTAGCCCAACATCACAATCACTGCAACAGTACACGGTTTCTTTTCTTCTTTTGTTTTTTGTACACACTACACATCTCCTTTGTGGTCTAGCCTTTTTTCCTAATGGGGGAATTTTACTAATAAAATGTCTTTACGAAGCCGGGGGATGGTGTTATCTAAATGGAAATACCGTCCCACTTATAAATTTGTTGCGCATAAATGTTTGTTTCCTGAACGATATTGTTTACAAAATCACCAGTAAAAATAATAGAAATGTCTGTACTATGTCGAGCACATTCACAGACTGATTTCTCGGCCCCGAATTTTCAGAAAACGGTTCGCGAACGCCATCATAATTATCCATATTTTGCCAAAAATAACTCGTCTGAATCCGCCACTGGAACCCTCGCCACTATTTCGTCGTCATCTCCAATACTATGATCTTGGATAGCATCAACTACAGCCTGATCTTCAATTTCATTATCACTGTTTTCACTACTATCCGAATATTCGAACTCACTAACTTCCGAGTCGTGAGCAAGGAGCTCATCTTGTTCATCGTCCTGTAAAACTTTCCTACTTGTAGAGGCCATGGTTATGGCGCGACTGAGAGATGAAAGTGTTATGACATCATAGATTTCTGTATCATTCGTAAGTTTGTTTTCTTAGGTTGCATTTGGTTCCAAGAAAAAAGGACCCTCTTGTTTGACTACTTCATTGTGTCAGCAGACTGTACAGCAACACACTCAAGGAAAACCTTCGTCTGGGGTTTCAGGGAGTGACTCATATAGACAAGCAAAGACCATAGAGTCGAAAGATATATAGTTTTATACATTTTCCTTACTTAGAATTTGAAAAACTTCAATGCAAACTAGGCGCAATGAGACGAAAGTACGAACTATTACACTAGCGAAATAAAATAAAAATAACGTGCTAAAAATTCGTCCAAAATAAATAACTCATATACCAATTGAAAGCTGAAACCTTAATCTATGTACTCCTGAAAAGAAAATTGGAATATCTTTCCTAGTTTTGTCAGCAACGTCCTTCAGAGCTAACACTGCGCAGGTCGGTGAACTGCACCGATGTCGGTGGCATACGATTATTTAAAGGGTCGGTGCAGCACACGGATGTCGGTGCGGAAGGGTTAATATACACCACAAGAATGAAATAGGAAAGAAAATAAGACAACTCTGTGTTACATATATATTGCACAAATGGAAATTTATTACATTGTTTGCACAAAAAGCTGCCTCTTCACCTATTCCAAACCCAAGACATTTCATTAACTGTTATTCCAAGGGCCCCCAAATATCACAGGACAAATGCATTTTTATCCAGACTCCACTTACAGAGTGAGAAATTAATGAAATCTGTTGAAATTACAAGAAAAATAACTGCTACATTAAACAATATTAAAAAAGTTCAGTACAAGATTGTGAAGGTGGGTACTAAAGCCCACTTTAAACTTGCATATAGATTACAACCAGTTTTTCAGTTACATTTACAAAATGTGGTTGAAAGATCTCAGAAATGAGACACAATGTGACATATGAAAATCAGATGGAAATTAATTTGCAGACAGGAAAAATTAACTTAACATTACAGTGATTTCAGTATGTTCACAATCAAAATGCAGATGACCCATTACTACACAGAGATATGCTGCCAACTGCATACAGTATAGTAGCTCAGCAATTTCAGTGATTCTTTGCTTCAAAGGATCCAGATCAAACTGAAACCATATTAAAAGTTTGAAATATTGGTTGATATGAAAATTATGCAAGCTTTTCCAATTTCTGGATGCAAAGTACTAAAATATATTGACGTTTTGGCTCAATTCAGATTCAATTACCAAATTACTGTTTTATTACGGTTTTCCAAGTCATGCAGGTTTATTCATTTGATGGGAAGATACACGATGCCTGACCAGAAGGCTTTCAAATATAGTAAGGATTATGAAACTTGAAACATTTTTGTTACATCAGGGCACAAAATATTCTTTCTACTGTGTAAAAGAAGTTTCATCTTTGTAAAAATATATGTGTGTATACTGACATACATATATATCTCTGGGAAGAACGATCAGGCCTAACATATTATGGACAAATATCCCATTACAAGCAGTAAATTTGATGAGAATGATACACAAAAGACAAGAGATACTAGGACGTTCACCAGCCCTCATGTTAGCTGTACATGAAGCCAAGTGACTACACCAAGCAACAACGGTACATTAAACTGCCACATTGGTATTCCAGTCCTGTATGTATCAGAAATTATTTTTGAAAAGGATACAATTGCTGAGACAGTACTGAGAGTCAGGAACACTGTTATCATCTTGCAACCAATACATGTTCATTTTTATGGAAGTAAACTGATGTTCATTATAATCTGGTGAAACAGCCAATCAAATGATGGCCAACATTATTTTCCTTAACCTAACTCTTGGAGCTGAGTGAAAGTAGTGATGTGGTTTGAATATGGGAGACCAGAAACACATACCCAATTTCAGTGTGGCAACCTGCTTAAAGCATTTATTTGAGACAGAAAAGGAGGATATTAACATGCATCTTCATGATACAGATTATGATGTAATGAGAATGGAACAGACTCAGCATCATGTCCAATGGGAGGGTCTGAGGTTAGTAATGTTGAACCTCCATGTTGTCTTGCTTTGGTAGGAAGTGCTATTAGTCTAATGCTTCTAATCGTCCAGATTACATCGACTCCTATTTATGGTGGTATGAAAGTTATTTGACAAAACTGTATCAACTGCCATGTTTTATAGTAAAGACTTGAAGCATTCAACACAATCTGATCATCCCACCTGTGACTGCTGTTAGATACATTAACCCATCAGCTATATTTTCTATACTTCACCAAGGAAATTTCTTAGTAACAGTAAAATATTTTTTTAAACCCATATAATTTTCATACTCTTTTTGTTTCACATGCAAGTACTGTGCCATTTTAAAGCTCTTACTATGATCTGAACTTTCTTTAAACACTCTGCAACAGGCAATAAAGTCCAAATGCAAGTTTAAGAACGGTTACAGAATGAAGAAAAAAGTTAATTAAATTTTGTTTTTATAATAGTGTGAAATATAAAGGCAAATTATCACATAATTCACTTTATAAAAGTTTATGATGAGTACAGTTTACCCATCAAATCAACTCACGAGATTCTGGCAGTGTACGGTGAACACCTGCATCCAGTGTTCCTACATTTAAAGTTCAGTTTCCACGATCTCAAATCAACAATTTCAGTGTTAAATTCCAATTAAGATTTTCCTCAGTTTAGTGTTAAAATCCACTGTACCCCAAATCATGTAAAGTGGAAACTTACTGAACTGATTGATACAACATAAAAAGTAATATGTTACTTTATACTGTAACTTTGGAGAGCCTTTCAACATATACTTGTACATGTTTGAATACAAAGAAGAGTATAAATGCAAATGCACTAACATACATGACGTGTTATTTCTTTAACCAGGCTGGCTCACTAGTTTCTTTTTTCTTGAACTCCTGGTCTGTATGTCTGTCTCATGTGAGGTTCAACAACTTTCATATGCAAAGATATGACCATTTTACCAGAACAAACCTTGAAGATGAGTGGAAAGATAATGTTGTTTTTTTTCATTTTCCTGAAATAATGATGTAAAAGTAGAATTAGGCAAATTTTTGTTGTGAAGACTTGGAAAAAATAAGTGCAAATATGGGAAAAACATAAATTTGAATAAATATAAAATCAGTTAAAATTTAAAATTGTTCTTACGGGCAGCTGGGTGGAAGCAAACAAAAAAAGACATAATATCATGAAAGAAATGATATCTGAAAATGTAAATCCAAGCTCTTCTGTATTTTTAAAGCTCATAATTTCAATCCTGGGGGCACTGTACTGTCAAAAGATTTTAATAAGCTATATGGCAGTCATAGAATTTCAAGATACTCCACCATAATTCTGTACTTGGACCACTTTTGAAATGTGTCATGAATATTTCAATCACCTGACAAATCATCATCCTGACAGGTTGCTGTCACTATTGCTCCAAGGGTCAGTTACACAAACAACATTCCTAATTCTCTAATATAATCAGTTTACTTCTGCACAATATGAACTGATTCTCCCCTTGATGTTACGTATATTAATAGCATTCATAGTTGATGGGTTCAACCTCTACGTAATCAAACCGGAAGACTGATGTTGGCAAAGGGGAATGATCCATGATTGCCTTCTCTAGTGTTGAACCAGAATCGAGATCCAAGTCCTGATGGCAGAGCACTGGTCTGGGGGACAAAGGTATGGCCCAATCCTGTATACTTCCACTACCTCCTACATCAAGCCCAATGCGCAGGTTGGCAGGAGTGTTACCCATCACAAAATCATCTTCTGTGAGTGGTAACAGATCCTTTAGCATAAACCTGGAAACAAGGCATAATGAAGCACCTTTATAGTTTTGTGAACCTTAATATCAAGAAAACACTACTGTATGAGACAAATTTCATGGTACGCAGTACAAATGACAAATTAGAAAGGATACAGAATGAAGTAGTTGTGACCTATTTTTAAGGCACTAGCCTAGCAATTGTCTGATGGGTGCAAGAAGTACAACAAATGTCCAAGACATCCAGTCTCCAGGTGGAGATTCAAATTCAAAGCCCCATGAATATGAAACAGTGCGCTATCCATTTGACTGTAACATTCAATTTTAAGCACTAATGTACGACATACTAACGTGAAGACTACAATCCTCAACTGTGTACTCCCACTTCTTTGTATTGTTAACATGTTGACCAAAAGCCAGGATAGTGAAGTCACAATAGACGTTCATTCCTAGGCAACAACTGAGTGTACACATTTCATTAGCTTGCATTTTGAAATTACATCATCCATAGTAATATTTAGGGCATGACTGGGTGTGAACAGTGATAATCTATGTTATATGTATGTATGTTGGGTTATATGTACATGTATGCGGATATATGATATACATACCATATGGATTGATCGGCAACAACATGCACTTTTGGAACAGGGAACCCATTGAAAGGGCTGGCTACAGGCAAGGTATACGCGCCCATATCCTCAAATATGATCCATTCTCCAACAGGCATCACAGGCAGCAGGGCTTTTTCTACAACCTGGTCCAACCCGTCACAAGTTGGGCCCCAGACTGATGATGGAACCAGTTTACCGAGATGGGCCTGCATATATGTTAAAACACATAATCCTCACAATGTTTTAGTAAAAGAATGATTGGAAAGGATACAGACGAATGTAGTCATGGCCTGTTTCAAGACACTATACCAGATTCCACCTGGTGGGATCAAGAAAAAAGGACGAGAAACAGCACTTAGGATAGCCAATCTCTGGCACAATATTTAAACTTGGACCATCAGAATATTAAACACAATACTGTATAATTCACTAGCTTGTCATGGCAATCTGCAATCTCTCTCATTTATAATAACTTACAGAACAAGACATTTGTATTTAAGGAGATAACATAACTCAGAAATGGCATTTCTACACTAAAGGACCTCACTATGTATCCGCCTGGTAGTGTCAATGTTATACAGACTGGCTGCTTCTTCAGTAACTTAGTTATGCTCTTGCAGCACCAGAGGTTATGTAGCATTGGATGATGATCATGATCATAAAAGGAGTATATGTAAGGAGCAACCAAGTCATGACTTACTTTAACATGCTATGCTTTAATTTGCCTGCAGAAATTGAGGAACATCATGAAACACCAAGACAGATGGTTAACTCAGTCAAGATTCAAGCTCAGTACCTCCCAGTTACCAGTTTAGTGGCAGCATGCTAAGCAATTATAAACTAAGCATGAGGCACACATGGTGGAAACAAGAATTCTGGTGATGACAACCTACAAAAAACACTGTGTGGAATGCCAAAATAAATATGATAGGATAATATAAAATGGTAAAAAAGGTAAAGCTATCCCTGTTACAGGCCGTGGAGGCCCATAGGGTTGTGAGACGTTGAGGCTCCCACATTTTATACACAGATGGTGGTTAGGTTGTCAACCTTATTCACCAGCTTCCCTTTAACCCCTAGGAAGATTCCTGGTTCTCATTTCTGTTAGAGGCTGAGTCGACTCCAGGGCCATAGTGCAGCTGGAAGAATTAGATCAACTGAAAAATCCAATAACCTCATTGGGACTGGAACCTGTGACCTGCCGGCTTGTAGCACAGTGCCTCAACCAACTACGCTACTGCATGTCCTGGGAGAATAATATTAAAATGTAAATTACAGGATTGTACTGAATGATATGAATTAGATCGTACAGGTTCTGTTGAACATTCAGGTTTCATAACACCTGGTAATGTAACAAAACATATTATTTGTTTGCACTCAGAAAGATGAGGTGTCCTTTTGATGGAAGAATATTTAAAGTTTAATAATGATGCTATCCAATGCCAGGCTCTGTTACTACCACTGTCAAACCTTCCGATCTATCAGCACAATTAATCAGAAGTGAGAAATATGCTGACCTATAATTACCCACTGAAAATAATATCATGAAGGAATTTTGCCTTCATCAATTTTATTTTCTACCATATTAGCAAACAAAACAATACAATCTTTCCACTGAGCAAATGTGAGCAATTATGTTAATGCATGTCCACATTACTTGTGCTCGTCAGGAGACTCGTCTGGCTTTTACTTGTGCTTGTAAATCTTTGTCCACACTACTTCAGTTACTCGCCAGGTTTCAGCGCATGAGGATCAATATATTTACCTGTAGTGTGTATAGGCCGTAGTTGTATTATAATTTATTGGCTATAGTTTTTAAATTAAAAATTTAAAATTTGCTTGTCTCGTGACTTGTCATATTGTCCACATTACTCACGAGCACAGCGAGTCACATGTGCACGAGCACGAATAATGTGGACGTGCCTTTATATAGTATGTAACTTGTGAAGAACTCACATTAAGTGGGATGGGGGTGACCTGAGCATGATCATACAGAAGTGAGTTAAAGCTTCCATATACGCCATCATTGATATAATACATGATATGAGCCACTTCCTCGCCATTGGGTATTTCCCTCTTGGAGTGAATGTTGGTTGCAAGTACAAAGGCTGAGGCCACATAGTAGCGACCTGGTTCAGCAATAACCCGTACCAGTTCTGGATCAGGGAAATACTCATCCAATGCAGTGTTCACGACCTCAGCAATCTGCAAGTTAAAGAAAAGACTAAGGACTGATGTTTTATTCTAGTAATATTTAACAGCTTTTTTAATTCTTTATAAAGTATGGGTTATATGTACTGAATAAACAGTGTGACTGTGACTGGTGAACTGTAATCAACATGGAAGAAAGCAATGCTGGAATACTAAGTCGGAATTTGCCTGGTGACCAAGGAAACCCGAAAACCACAGAACAGTCAGTGTTTGGACTGAGATCTCCCAAGTATGAATCAAAGGTCCTAACCACTCAACTACAAGAACTGGCAGGACCAAACACTTCCAAACACTCCACATATTCAGTATGTCACATACAAGTATATGTACAAATATTTACAATTTCATAACAAGTCTCTAATTAAGTATGTATAAGTGGTTGTTGCTATGTGTGTTTNATGGGCCTGCATATATGTTAAAACACATAATCCTCACAATGTTTTAGTAAAAGAATGATTGGAAAGGATACAGACGAATGTAGTCATGGCCTGTTTCAAGACACTATACCAGATTCCACCTGGTGGGATCAAGAAAAAAGGACGAGAAACAGCACTTAGGATAGCCAATCTCTGGCACAATATTTAAACTTGGACCATCAGAATATTAAACACAATACTGTATAATTCACTAGCTTGTCATGGCAATCTGCAATCTCTCTCATTTATAATAACTTACAGAACAAGACATTTGTATTTAAGGAGATAACATAACTCAGAAATGGCATTTCTACACTAAAGGACCTCACTATGTATCCGCCTGGTAGTGTCAATGTTATACAGACTGGCTGCTTCTTCAGTAACTTAGTTATGCTCTTGCAGCACCAGAGGTTATGTAGCATTGGATGATGATCATGATCATAAAAGGAGTATATGTAAGGAGCAACCAAGTCATGACTTACTTTAACATGCTATGCTTTAATTTGCCTGCAGAAATTGAGGAACATCATGAAACACCAAGACAGATGGTTAACTCAGTCAAGATTCAAGCTCAGTACCTCCCAGTTACCAGTTTAGTGGCAGCATGCTAAGCAATTATAAACTAAGCATGAGGCACACATGGTGGAAACAAGAATTCTGGTGATGACAACCTACAAAAAACACTGTGTGGAATGCCAAAATAAATATGATAGGATAATATAAAATGGTAAAAAAGGTAAAGCTATCCCTGTTACAGGCCGTGGAGGCCCATAGGGTTGTGAGACGTTGAGGCTCCCACATTTTATACACAGATGGTGGTTAGGTTGTCAACCTTATTCACCAGCTTCCCTTTAACCCCTAGGAAGATTCCTGGTTCTCATTTCTGTTAGAGGCTGAGTCGACTCCAGGGCCATAGTGCAGCTGGAAGAATTAGATCAACTGAAAAATCCAATAACCTCATTGGGACTGGAACCTGTGACCTGCCGGCTTGTAGCACAGTGCCTCAACCAACTACGCTACTGCATGTCCTGGGAGAATAATATTAAAATGTAAATTACAGGATTGTACTGAATGATATGAATTAGATCGTACAGGTTCTGTTGAACATTCAGGTTTCATAACACCTGGTAATGTAACAAAACATATTATTTGTTTGCACTCAGAAAGATGAGGTGTCCTTTTGATGGAAGAATATTTAAAGTTTAATAATGATGCTATCCAATGCCAGGCTCTGTTACTACCACTGTCAAACCTTCCGATCTATCAGCACAATTAATCAGAAGTGAGAAATATGCTGACCTATAATTACCCACTGAAAATAATATCATGAAGGAATTTTGCCTTCATCAATTTTATTTTCTACCATATTAGCAAACAAAACAATACAATCTTTCCACTGAGCAAATGTGAGCAATTATGTTAATGCATGTCCACATTACTTGTGCTCGTCAGGAGACTCGTCTGGCTTTTACTTGTGCTTGTAAATCTTTGTCCACACTACTTCAGTTACTCGCCAGGTTTCAGCGCATGAGGATCAATATATTTACCTGTAGTGTGTATAGGCCGTAGTTGTATTATAATTTATTGGCTATAGTTTTTAAATTAAAAATTTAAAATTTGCTTGTCTCGTGACTTGTCATATTGTCCACATTACTCACGAGCACAGCGAGTCACATGTGCACGAGCACGAATAATGTGGACGTGCCTTTATATAGTATGTAACTTGTGAAGAACTCACATTAAGTGGGATGGGGGTGACCTGAGCATGATCATACAGAAGTGAGTTAAAGCTTCCATATACGCCATCATTGATATAATACATGATATGAGCCACTTCCTCGCCATTGGGTATTTCCCTCTTGGAGTGAATGTTGGTTGCAAGTACAAAGGCTGAGGCCACATAGTAGCGACCTGGTTCAGCAATAACCCGTACCAGTTCTGGATCAGGGAAATACTCATCCAATGCAGTGTTCACGACCTCAGCAATCTGCAAGTTAAAGAAAAGACTAAGGACTGATGTTTTATTCTAGTAATATTTAACAGCTTTTTTAATTCTTTATAAAGTATGGGTTATATGTACTGAATAAACAGTGTGACTGTGACTGGTGAACTGTAATCAACATGGAAGAAAGCAATGCTGGAATACTAAGTCGGAATTTGCCTGGTGACCAAGGAAACCCGAAAACCACAGAACAGTCAGTGTTTGGACTGAGATCTCCCAAGTATGAATCAAAGGTCCTAACCACTCAACTACAAGAACTGGCAGGACCAAACACTTCCAAACACTCCACATATTCAGTATGTCACATACAAGTATATGTACAAATATTTACAATTTCATAACAAGTCTCTAATTAAGTATGTATAAGTGGTTGTTGCTATGTGTGTTTTATTTTAGGCGAAAGAGACGAATCACTTGGGTTCATGATATAAACTTGTCAAGAGAGGAACTGGGGGAGTTTTATACGCTGATACCTCAACTCCTGAAGGACGAAAAATGGTTCTACATATACTTCAGGATGAATATTGACAGGTTTGATGAAACCTTGAGAGCCATCAGGCAAGATATCACTAAACAATATAGCAATTGGCAGAGGCCTATTCTTGCCATGAAGTGGAGGATTTTTTGAGACCCACAGAACTGAAAGAAGGAAATATAAAACACACTGTATCAGCAACATGTTTGCTTCATAATTTTCTATGTCTCAAAAACTGTGATGAAAAGTACAGGGAAGAACTGCTACGAGTGGAGCCATTGGAAGGAAAAATGTTCCCTATCCAACCTTTACGTCTCCCGGGGCCGGCAAACGTTAGCTACACCATTAGAGAGCGGTTTGTTGCGTACTTTAACTAGATGACTGCCCCTGGAATTAGTGTTACTGAACGGAACTGGTGCATAGCCTACATTAAGAATGTCCATAGTTACTGTATACTTAACCCTATATAAATATATACAAATATTTCTACTTGCTGTCTCTGTTCATTTAACAGCCAATTCCTTCCACTTTCTATCCTTAGCACGTGAATCCTTGAACACTGGATGACGAGTATCGTACAATAAAGCATTTTCTTTGACGAACTCAATTATTTGTTCCATCTGGCTACCCATGTCGTTTCACGTATGTATAGATACTGATTGAGTGTGAGTCATGGCCAGCTGGTTATCAGGTGTCAAAGATTCCTGAGTTCCCGAGTGTTGCGTCTGTGTGCGCGGCCCAGTTGGTAAACAGCCGTTTTCGTCCCGAATTGTATCGCGTCTGTGTGTGGGAGCCTTTAAGTATTTCTAATGGTTGTTCACACATTATGAACAAAATGTCATAACTGTTAAGAACAACTACATAACATACGTCATTCTATGTGCACGTGCAATGTATGTAACAGCAGACATTTGTTTTGCTTAGTGGGGGGTGGAGTCCAACTGGGTCCACTTGGCACGGCGGCGACTGTAGCCTGTCCCGGGTGATTATGATGATGGAGAATTTGGTGGAATGATGATTGGCAGGGGAAACTGAAGTACTTGGAGAAAACCCACCCCAGCCCCACTTTGTCCACCATAAATCCCACTTGACCAGACCTGGGATCAAACTCAGGCTGTCGTGATGGGAAGCCAGCGACTAACCGCTTGAGCTATCTCGCAGCCAATACAACATTTGTTACACAAGCTAGTGATGGTACTGCAAATACTTATAGTAGGCCAAGCATGTCTTTTACTGATCAAATTATGTCCCTCTGGCACTGACTGAACAAATTTTAGCAGCAGTTAACAGGTTGAGGCAGGGGCATCCATACTCAACAATATTCAGATGGAGACATAGGATATCTTTTTGCAAAAAGTTCCATGCTTCATTCTCATAAATGTCTCCTGCTACTGTTATCAATTTCTCTCCCAGTATTTCTATGATAAGTTTGATTTGTTTCATTCTGGTCCATCACACTAACAATTACAAATATAAATCACTCCGTCCAATGTGACCTGTAAGTTTTTTACTACATGAAAACTTAACACCCTTACATGTTTCGGTCTCTGTGGACCATCTTCAGAGGGCAAACATCACTACAAATAGGAAACCACCATCACATAAGTTGTTTAGACGTAAAGTACGTACACTTATATGCTACAATGCATAGTACGCAAAATAGGACATTTCACAAACACAGCAGTTTCCTGGGAATGTAAAGTTTTTAAAAAATTATATAAAATTTCTGTGCTGCTGTGCTGTTTTCACAGCAGCCACGAGCAAACCCTGGACGATATAAAGAACCTCCACATCAAGATAGCCAGGTGGCACAATATCTGCCCCATATAAGAGGGAAGATGGGAGGACAAACACGAGCCTGCATGGTTTATGAATTTTAATTATTGACAATACAAAAAAAATTTTAATTAGCATCAAGAAATTTTATATAATTTTTTAAAAACTTTACATTCCCAGGAAACTGCTGTGTTTGTGAAATGTTCTATTTTGTGTACTATGCATTGTAGCATATAAGTGTACGTACTTTACGTCTAAACAACTTATGTGATGGTGGTTTCCTATTTGTCGTGATGTTTTCCCTCTGAAGATGGTCCACAGAGACCGAAACATGTAAGGGTGTTAAGTTTTCATGTAGTAAAAAACTTACAGGTCACATTGGACGAGTGATTTATATTTGTATTTCTACGATATTTTAACAAACACTGTTCCTTCCTTCAATTTAAGGTTTCCAACACCATGACTTGATATTCAAACCCATCATTCTGATCACATGCCAAACAATGACTTGAGGACAACAGGCAATGAATTCTTAATATTGTTATATCTTCTGGGCAAAAATAAAAGATGGCTTTCATCACCAAAAGTGACTTTTCCTCAAGCGCTGAACAGCCAACAACACACATTCCTTTGTCTCCCAGTCCTCTTTTTGGTTGAAAAATGTACCAATAATTGCTGTGGACAAGCTTTGTACCCTAGTAATAATTTAGTAGGTGTCTTTGCCTTTAAAGGTTCTTGGGCATACACACTTTTGTTATTAAAGACCATTCTCCTCCCAAATACTTTTTATCCAGAAACAAAAGTGATGCGGTAATCTGTCAACATATAAAGATCATTTCCTTGATTATCCACTTTACAGTCTGTCTGCAGCAGTTCAAATTTTAGGAAGGTTCTTCAGTGTTATTATAGTAGTTCACATGTCACTTCTAAAGCACTCTGACTTTCATTTGGATGTACATTATTTTATAACAATTAGTACCTGAAAAAAAAAATAAAGACTTCTCAGCATTACTACTCTGTACAACTCAGCACAAACTTCTGGATGCAAGGTATCACTTACCATTGTGCTCCTGTTCATTACTAAGCAGATTAAAGCATTTACAAAAGTGGCAAATCTTAGATATTCTTCTCTGACTGATGAAAGTAACATCAGATATAATTCACTACAAGTTGTTGTTCATTTTGTATGCATATTATTTCTATATGTTTGGTTTTAGGTTATATCTAAAAAGTGGGCACAATATTTATAAACTGAAAATATATTTGAAGTCAGAATGTAAACTATGGTATGTATCCTGTTATGACAATAAACTTAACATAATAAACGACACTCAACAGCATCAACAAGACTTGCTCACCTTATCAATAGATGAACCTTTATTGCCAGGGTAACCCCCACCAATGTCTAAGAGGTGGAAGTTATACCCAAGGCTTGTCCCAATATCGAACACCATTTTGGCTGATGCTATGGCCCGATAGAAAGCTGGTGCATCACCACAACCAGATCCAACATGAAAACTGACACCCACAACATCCAGTCCAAGAGACTGGGCGACTTTAAGCAAATGAGGTGCCTCAGTCACTGCATTACAACCAAACTTCATTCCCAGCTGACACTGCACTACAGCAGCATCACAGCGGATGCGAATCACCAACCTGTGGAGCACCAATGTGTGATGAGGTAGTGATACTTTTCTTGCTAACAGGGTCATCTCAAATTCCAGTTACAGTAAAACATCAGTAAAGCAAAAAGCAAGAACTTGACATTTACAAACAATTTATGATTCCCTCTTTAGGTGCAGAAATTAATTTCTTTAATGCAATACTCCTGAACATGAGAAGTTCAACTTGACAAACAGATACAGAATTTCTTTGGTGCCTGTGTGTGATAAACTTGATAAAATCAAAGCTTCAAAATAGAAAAAACCAGGAACACGTAACTTCTGTAGCATATAAAATAACCTCATGTGCCAGTGTGCTGTGATTTGAGGCCAAGTGTGCCACAATGCTTTGAATTAAAATGCATTAGTTTATGGGGCATGGTGAATTATTCAACCATTTGTTGTTTATCACCACATCCTATAGCATCCTTTCACTCTTTCTCAAAATTATTCCTACTTCCTTATATTTACTACATTTTTCACTTTTAATCTTAAAATTTTTGTTTCTGTTTCAGTTTTACAGAGATCAAAGGGACAAAAATAATATTTGTAAAGCGCATGGCACACAACATGTTCAAAACCTACTTCAGCATCCTCCAGCAATTATTCTGCAGCAAACACAAAGGAAATACCCATAATATATATCTGTATCACTACACACTACAACATATGAAACATACTTCAGCATACTGTTGCAATAATTACTTAATTCTATCACTTAAAATTCTACATTTTCCTGCAACTTTTGTTACTGTTTTGTGGTTGTATGGAATGATGTCTGCCAGGGGATCTGTAGTAGATGAAAAAACCTGTCCCAGGCCTATCTGTCCACTGCAGATCTCACAGACTAGCATGGGGTAAACCTGAGTTCCTATGGCAACAAACCAGCCAGTAACTAGTTATCTGAGTTACTTACACCTGCACAGTTGATTTGACATTATTTAACTGACACCACAGTCCAGAGGATTCATTAATGAGATGAAACTCAGCTAGTCAAGAATATTCCGGTTTCATGGAACCCAAAGGTTCATAAACATAATCACAAAAACCCAAACTGTTCCCTACACAAAGCCAGCTTAGTCCAATCTATATCATAAAATCTATTTCCCAATGGTCCACTTTAATATTAGCCTCCCTTCTATATGCAGGTCTGGCAAATGACCTCTAACCCTTCCAGTTTTAATCTTCTCCTCCATGATTTAATTACCCTAGTAATATCAGGTGAAGATTACAACTGTAAATCTTCCGCCACACTTCTGTCATTTCCTCTTTCTTACGGAAAACTTTAAGAAAGGGTATGGAAATAAGCTTTAGAACATATGGATTATCTACACCACCTTCATTACAGGTGTTTGTGTATGTACAGTTTTGGTTTCATGTGCTAAATTGAAATCTTATTTCATAAAGGTCGATTAAATGGAACACTCAACCCTGTTCCTTCATGCCGTACAGACTGACACATTATACATACTTTGCAGCAGGGAACAAGCTCTTAATCTTGTGCAGCTCACTTTCATTGTCAAAGGTCATGGTATCAACTCCAAGTGCAGCTGCATGACGGATATGAGAAGCTGGTTTGGCTGGATTGGCAAAGATGATGCGTCTGGGGTCCACTCCTAGCTCCAGGACCTTGTTAATTTCTCCCTGTTGAAAAGCATCATGTTGAAACAATAGAAAGTTCTGACATGGCACACTTGACAAATGGGCCCCTTGTCATCATAGCACGGCACATCCTCAGGCTGCGGACGGAGAGCGGCATCACATATGGAGAGAACTGCAAATATATTGAATAAAGAGTCAAAGACAGCCAACAAGGAGCAGCCCTCCAACCTGGTAGTTTGATGGAGGTGCTAAACAAAAGGAAACCATAGGAAACTAGCAGATTACAAAATGTTAGATATGGCCTTCAAGTCAGCTTCTTTGGCATGACCTAAGCACTCAGAAAGGACGCAAGATTTGCAATCTTGAGCATATGCTGTCACTACTGTCAAGGTTCAATGAAGCTAGAACAAGATTATTATTATTATACGTTTTAGATCTGTGGCAGCATAGGAAGGCTGATGGGACAAATGTGGCAGAGAATCAATAGATGATTACTGAGTTTTCTATGCACATACAAATTTTCAGTGCAAAATAAACTGAAGGATAGAGGTTATTTGGGAGATCCAGGCATAGCTGGGAGAATAATATTACAATATCTGACAGAAATAGTGTGTGAGGGCAAGGAGTGAATTCAACTGACTTAGGACAGGATTCAAGGCTCTCCTGAACATGATAAAGGCCAGAATTGTATAAATGGTAGAGAATTTGATTAACTCTGTGGAAGACATTGCTCCGTTGCTACATTGACTTAATTATGACGTGCGCGCATGCATGCATGCACAAGGTTTAACCTCTCTACATAGTCATGATACACATCTTTGTGTCTGGGTAGAATAAGTGGCCATTTGTGAGGGTTTAGAACAATTTCCCATGATTCTGTGATATATTAATTACAACAGTAGACTCCAACTAGTGCTGTTCCCCATAACAATATGATATAGTTAGAATTTCAAAATAATAAGAAAATACATTCTGTATTTAAGCATCCTGTTGCAAATCTTTAATTAAACGTCTATATATCCACCATCTGTCAACAGAGCAACAATTATTTATTCATCAATTAACACTTAACACAGCATGTTTCAGTCATAGATGGCCACCCTCAGGTGTCTTAATGCATGCAAACTGTTACGCCGCTCTGTTGTTGCACCATCATAATTTGCTCAGTTTTGGCAAATTCAAAATAGAACACTTTCTTATCCCCTGTCCTCGTCATGTTTCATAATGACTGCCCCTAGTGGTGAAACCTGCAAGTATGCCATGGCGCCTATTATCCAAACAAACTTGGAGAGATTGTCTACCTACTGATATGTTCCTTCCTGCTGTGTATGTGTTGGTTGTTGTGCTGCTGAGTTCGAAGTTCTGGAGGGACTTATGAATTACCATGTATAATGCATAAAGTAATCGATGTTTCAAGATGTTTCTTTGTTAACCAACCATATACAGTTTAATGTTGCCGGTGACATACTGGGTAATTCCATGACTTATTACTATGTGGTATCACAGTGATAAACAACAGAAAAAAGTGTAATGTCACACCTTTCATTTTTAGAACCATAACTTACCGAAGGAATAATTCAGCATGTATTTTGTCAGATAAAAGATTTACATGGAAGGTTAATCTAGTATAAATGTAGTTGTAAGCACAAAAAGTGTGATACAAGAAACAAGCAACATCATTATTTCAGTATAGTTTATTTTAAGAAAAAATGTAAGCAAAGATAATAAGTTCAGCTGGTTTAACATAATAACTGACTGCAGAAGGCACGGACTGAAAATATGAAGAGTGTGACATAAAATCCCTAGACTTGTCTGGAATTATTAAGACTGAAAAAGAAATCACATTGATAGACCAAAGAAGAGATGATTTAGCCAAATGAATTACGGTGGACCAAGCTGAATTACAACTTGATCCAAGCAGTAAGTAATTAAGTGAATTTATGATGGTAAGTCACTTTTAACTTACTACAGAATTAAAGCACAACAGACCACTGAAGGTCGCAGTGCTAGGGCCAGTTCTATGGCTCACCCCTCACACTCATACTATAGATTTATAAACACACAGAGTAAGAGTTATGAGCTAGACCAAGAAAATACTGGGAAGAGGACTTTTAGGCAGTACATGCATTAGACACCTAATATGCAAAGACAAGTTGTAATGTATTCTCTAAACTGAGAGACTTCCTTTAAAACATATAGCAACATATAAACCAAACACATCACCAGAAATGTTAATTTGCACATTAAAATTTTCTCCTTTGGGTTACTAGAAGAAGACCCTTAAACCTGACAAAAGAGAGTCAAAGTTTCAGAACAAAGTTCATATTATAAAAGAAGTAATATGCCTTACCTTAGAGGCACAGTCAAACCCAGTTCCTAACGCAGCCAGGACTACCAGGACATTCAGGGAGTCATTACATTTCACAGCTGAAACATCAAAACAATGGTGATATCAGCCGCTACAAAGCAGTCCCTCAACATGAAGACACTGCACAGTAGTTCACAACATTTTTAATGTAATTTACTAGTAGTTTTACAAATTAACTATCAGTAAAAGCAGAAAATATCAAGTTTTCAAAGTAACCAAATTCAATTCAGTTTTCCTGGGCAAGAAATCACATCAATGCAAGCCAAAATATGTTTTGGAGACTGTCTGCTTCAGCTTTCGGGGACTAATATTGCATCAGTACCTACGACAGTCCCCTAAACTCGTGTTTTTAAAACTGCAAGCTGTTGGTATCATAACCCTATTAGGGTCAAGTTTGATTAAACAAATGATAAAAAAGAATGCATAAAGTGCCACCATTAATTAGACAACTACTCCACAATGAACATATTCTCCTTTTAGTTTGACACTTATATATACCCCAGTAAGAAATGGGAGGGGGGAAAAAAAGATGCACGTAGTGACAGAAACATACAAATGTTTCATATCTCAAAATCCTTCAAAACTCTAAAGCACACCATGTGAATGCTTTCAGTACTTATTTAATGACACAGTTCCATGAGGATTATTTTACACATAATCATCTTTAAATATACTTATGAACACCCTGTATTAGAAACATGTTTCTAATACAAAAGCTGCAGATTTTCATAGGTTTTATATTTTCTGCTTTGTACCAACTTTGTTGTGTCATGATTCTGGGGGGGGGGGAACCCCGGTGAAGTTTGATTTCAGCTTCAGTGTATGTTACTGATAAGGACTTAAATTAATATTTTCCTACCAGCTTGTAGTGTACATCCGCTAGTACCAAACTTCAATGAAATTCATGGAATAACTTCAGATAAAAAATGAGGAGATAAAGAGACAAAAGCTCTTCATTATGCGCTTAACAACACACAAAATATGACATACATTTTATGACTCAAAGTCAGTCTTACCATAGTGTGGCTCAACACGTGGCATCTTCAGTTTCCACTCCTTGTGTTTGCGCACAATATCTCCAATGTCACAAACATAGAAAGCTTCTTCCTGAACCTGCCCAGAGTAAAATACAACCTCACAATTACATTTTAAACAAACACTAGCACTGTCAAGTATCAAGTACTTTCTACTAGCATAATTTTTGGTGTAAGAGGAGGTGGTAAACCCTACCTCCACTGTGTTAATTTCATCACATTAAGGTACACTTTTCTAAACAACTACAATACTATAGTCTTGAAATTTGGTGCACAAGTATTTTTGGTATTGTGTATTTATTTACTTTATCTTATAGTGACATAAACAGACTTTTTATAATTTTTCTGAAAGGACAATTTTTCAGTGGTTTCAATAGAAAAATACTTAATACTGTCACGGCTTCTTGTGTCAGACATGTAAGAAATGCCACTATCTTCACAAACATCAGTAAAATAACTGATATAAATTCCATGCTTCTAGAAAAAGGTATCCATGTCTATAAAACAAAGAAGACACATTGCAGGGAAATGGGTGAAAAGATAAAACGCTATCTTAATGCAGACAAAAACAAATGAAGGCAAAACCATGCCAATGCAGAAACTTCTTTTTCCACTGAAGTATTTCCCTTGAACCCCTGGTATTATCAAATGCTCAATTTTCATTACCAAAAGATGTATAACTGAAATGGAAGCATGATGCCAGTTGTCACCTGACAATTAATTAAACCAGCCTTTAATGCTGTTGTATGAGGTTTTAGTAAAAAGAACATTACATTATTGTAACTGACAACCACAATTAGCAAAAAGCACAAAAATTATATTTCTCACCCAAATCACCTCACCACCACTTCTTAAGGTGATGCCTTACAATTTTCAGACCAGACAGCCTAAATGTGACTAATGAGAACCTGCAAGGCCAAAACTGATGGCAAGATTAACAGTTGTTATATAGACTGGAGGATATTATTCAAATGGGTATTAAAATATAGGTGGCAAAAGTGTAATCTGGACCGAACTAACCCATGGTGGTTTCAGTGATGAGAGAAATTTAACCTTTGTTCATATATGAGGACCTCAGTGATGACTATGAAGAGTAACACCATGTGAGATATGTCGTTTACTCTTTTTTGGAGCAGTGTCAGTAAACTTCTACCATACTACATGGAATTTCACACCAGAAGACATATTCTTCAAACTCCAGGTGCCATAACATAACATTTTTTTTGATTAAAAACCAATTTCTTGAGGAACACATATACACCATGAAGTTCTTTCTTATTGGTTCACAACTGCACAGACAATCAAACGCTTATATAAATATACCTACCTACCTACCTACCTGACTACCTACCACTTGGTGCTACAGCCCTGGGTGAGCCTTGGCCTCCTCTACAACCAGTCTCCACAACCAATGTGTGCTGCCATAGGAATGGATCCACGCATGATGACCCGAGGCTGGTTATTAGGTTTCTGAACAAAATTCTTTTTATAGGATGAGGTTGTTAGTCTCATGCCCAACCCCCAACATGGAGGACCAGGGCATCTCTCTTAGTCTTGACTGTACCCTTTGAGCTTTCCAGCACGGGTGACCCTACTGGTAGTTACACTACCGCCAGCATAGCTCTCCAGGTCACAGAGTCACGCAAACCCCACCACCACGACAAGGTAGAGACACCTTTGAGGGGCTTATATTAATGTACTATCTGACATTTGCATATAGGGACTGAGCAAAATTATCAACAACCTCACTTATGCAGCATATCTGCGGAGCTAGATTTAAACCTAGAATCTCCTGAACATGAAGCAGGAGTGTTAATACCTACAGTGTGATATGTGATACTGGGTTACTTACAGTCAGCTACACTGCCTATTTCAAAACAAAAGCATCAGCGTTACTCACTCCTGATTCGGCAATGTCTTGCACAACTTTCCAGACATCAGTTTCGGCATCCAGTACGTGGATTCGTTCATCAAGATGTGTCAGCTTCATCTTGGTCGTTCACAAGGTTACAAAAATCAACAATTGACCTGTGATACTTGGGGGTGACAGTTATTTAAAATGTCGCAGAGACCAGGAAAGGCTTGTTGGAACAAGTGAACTGAAACAACGATGAAAAATATATTTCAAACACTTTTCTGGCTACCAATCCCAAATTTTAAATGAGTGAAACATTCTGAAAGTCAAACTATACACAATGTTAATTAGATGATACTGTAACTTTGAGGATTAAAATATTGAAGTTACATATAATATTACTGAGAACAGTATGTAACATTCTGAAGTGTCGAACCCTACACACGGTCCATGCTGGAATCCTAAAATGAAAATCAAAATTTTTATGGATGATTTATAACCATTATTTCTTCTGTGGTATGTAAGTCATGATGTTGCCCCCTTATGCCTCTAAAATGTATGCAAAAACAAATATCTGTAATTTTTGTTATTTCTATGCTAAATCTTGAGCAATATTTCAACTACAATTCCTCATTTATTTACTGTAACTCTTGTCTAGTGTCAAGTTTTCATCTCTGTGTTTACCTGTGGACTCCAAATTTTATTACCTATATTTAAGTGCCAAGTTGTTTTACCTCTTTAAAAAAATACAACTAAGAGTCATACTTACGAGGCAGCCTTAGTTCAGTGTTGGGCAGTTTGTAGTAAGTTGCCAAAAAGACCTAACAGGAGCTGAAGCAGGAATCACTAGCAGCCCAAGGCGGTTCTCCGTTAAGAGAAAGCCTCCAGTTGGACTTGTACAAGCAGAAACCTGCCGCCGGGCTCTGAACCAGCCGAACGGAGATGTTACAACCCTGAAAATAACAGTACATATTCTTGTACACTGACAAATTATTTTCGTCATGGTTTAACTCCATCTTGATATAATCTGAAGTGTCTATGTATGTGATTCTTAAATACTGTCACATTTTAGGGTTTTTGGATTACTGGATTTATTGACGATTTACAGGTCATACTACAAACAACTATAACAATATTGCTATTTCCTCGCTTAACAGTTCACTGTTACACACACTAGTGTCCTCAGTCTATTACAGTCGCCACTATCTGTTTCCTGGCCAACAGATCTTAGCTCAGGAACTGTAACAGTCTCACTGAATTACACACTCCAAACATCACTTTGCTATAGCACATACATGTAAAGTCTTCTCTTCACAGCCTGCTTGCCAACAGAGTACACAGAGCCATCTTCTCAGCCTCCCTTGCAGAGCCCAACTCTCAACTAACTGCTTACTTGGAACTCTGAAACTTGACTGATGATTCTCAACTGAACTCTTCTTTTTAACCATTTTGCATGGACCAAACAGAAAACATTTGTTGCTTGTGTATCTGTTGCCCTGGAAACTTGTTTACTGAGTCACTGCCCAGCAACGGATGTCTCCTCTGGTTCCATTATATTGGCCTTCAGGTGTCAAATCTCCATATAATCCTTATTCCAGAATATTATTTCATTCAGCTAGACTCTTCCAACTGCACTGCATGGAGAAGAATGCAGAAGAAACTAGGTGACACCTATTTCAAGGCATTATTCTAGTATTAACCTAGCAGAATTAAGAAAAATACAAGGAACCTGGATATCCAGCATGTCAAAAATAAAAATAACAAGAATAGGAATTAAAAAAAAAATAATAATAAATAAACATGGGAGCTCCCAACTGATTCTTGAATTATTCAAGAAAGGTTTCTCAACTGCAAAGTTTCATAGTACCACAGAATGGTAGCATGACCGTTAATGTACTGGAAAAATTAAGTACAAAGCAGTTGCAGTTTACTGTAAGGTATATTCCAGAGTTGCTTGGAGGACCAATGAAAGTAACATCTGTCAAGTCAGGGAAGCTGGTTTCAGATTTACATTTGAACCCAGGATCCCTCAAATAAGACTGGTCTGGGATATCCAAGGATGTTTTTATGAAAACAGTAGAGTACTTTCACTGCATAAAAGCAAGGAATTTATTCCTCAGTTAAATTTCTTCTTTTCAAGGAAGACACAGCTCTGTACAATTAGTTATGAGTTCTCAGCTTGGTGGGCAGAGGAAAACACCTACAATGAATTATTACATTTGAGAACTGGAAGGACATCAGTTCATAAAAGAAAACATTCAGTGATTTTCGAACACAATAATATTATATTCGGAGCACTTAAACTGGAATGATGTCAGTATGTATGAGAAAACAAATCCCTCAGTTTTAAAAACAGCAATACTGAAGCTGTAACTCTGCCAATGTAAGGATGTCACTTTGTAAAACAAAACAAACATCTGATTTTTAAAGACAGTATTATTAAAACTGGAAGGGCATTAGATTTCATACTAAAATTCTGGACCTGAAGACATTAACTTCCAAAAACTAGAAGGAAATCAAGGTCAGTAACACAGCACACCGTCAACATAAAGCAGACATGTGGGTGACAGCTTCAGTATTTGCATCAGAAGCAAATTTGACACTTATCTAACTATGGAATTGCCTGTATTATGTATACAGTATTTATGCAGTGATAAAAATATGTACATGAAATTTAAGGTACATTTCAAACCATGACCAAGCAGGTGAAAGGGGTGCTCATTCAATTTTGCTGTTTGAACAAAATACTGCAAACCAGAGGTCAGAGAGACCAGACATACACAGCCTATTCACAGAAGACTATGAACTTTAAAATATTATAGAGAAATTTTGAAGACATAGAACATATGTAAACATATTGGGGGACACGATAAAAGCCGCAGGACTCATATATCTAGATCTGTTGTATATTGAGGTCCGAAGTATCTGATTTATAAAGATGTTATATTCAAGCTAAAATGTTAAAAATTAGAGAGTTAAGAACAAATCTATGATATCAGAATATTGTACAATACTTCCCTCCTAACTGAATCACAGGCTTTCTTGAAGTCTACAAATTGATGTATTGTACTTTTGTACAATATAATTTATAAAACAACCATATAAATGTCCACTGAAATTTTAAACAGAAACTGAAATGATACTTTGAAAATCGCATCACCTGTATAGCACTGAATGAGAAAGTATATGGTCATGAATGACAAATCTGGAAGGACAATAAAAAAGGAAATGAATACAGAACATGATTTTTAATTTCTTAGTTTTCCTAATAACAGCAAGCCAGAAAGCTTCAGTTTACTACAGCATTTGCCAATGTCTTAATCGAAAGCATACTGTATAGATTCCAACTGGGTAATTTAGGTGAGTGTATTACTTTATGATACAACACTACCTCACAAGATAAACAATATGAAAAACATTTGATGTAAATCAAGACGAAGTTCATACCTGGGAATATCCCAACTTAGGAGAGCGCCTTGCTCTTTGAATTTGGAATCTCATTCACTAAGATGATACAAGTATCTCCTTGAAGGAAAACCAGCCAGCTCTCTTGCAGGATGAGCGAGAGGTATTTGATGAAGCCGTTTTCTGAACTGCTTTTCTGCTATTCACTCTCCTTCTCTTCCCCAACTCTCAACTATCACGAAGATGGAATATTAACTCTGTTAAGGAGTCTGGCTACTGGAGTCCAAGCGCTATACCAGAAATAATGGTGACAGATTTCGGACTGGCTACTTTCTTTCAGAAATGCTCGAAGACTGTATGGCTCTAGAAGAGCACTTTGTTCTTGACACTCATTCGTAATCTGCAACTAATACTGAAGCCTCCAGACTTCAAGTAATCTATATACAGAGCAGCAGCTCCAAAGATCACAGTTCATCCCAATCAGTGAAGGGGGAGGGGAGGGCAATCACTAGACCTTAACAGATGACCAGGGCCAGAGTCCTATGAGGAGCTTTACCATATTTGGAACAAACTATCACAAGTAAGTACTGGTGGCTGCACATTCATGAACATGGAAACAGGAGATGACACACTCCAAAGAAGTACACACATATCCTCAACGTTTTCCTTGAAAATATGCATTCCTGTATGATCTTGGTCCTTTATTGTAGATAAAAAACACTTCAATTCTTCGATATTTTTCATCTTGCTAAACTCTTCAAACCGAAATGAGCACTAAAAGTCTGTAATTAGCTAGTCTATCATTAACAAAACTAATTAAAAATAAATAAATCTATTACTTTGCTGGTATTTAGTTAATATACACAGTAGAACTTTTTTTTTTTAAAAATAATACTCAAGAATATTCATCAGATCTACATTTTATGTCGTGTATTAATCTTCTATACAATGAATAACAACAGCTAGATCCCCCACACACAACTTTGCCATAACTGCTGAGCTGTTTTGGAGATGACAGATGCAAACAGAAATGACCCTAAAATAATGCATACGCATCCACTACATGCAAAATCCACAAGACTGTAAGTCATAAAAAAGGGGAGGGGGAATTATTGTGAGATATACATTTAAATTCAAGTAAATTCAAGTAAAAGTGTGTGATACACTAACACATATGAACTAAATGATAAAACAGGACACTCAAATAAAGCTGCTTGTAAGATAAAGAGAGATCCTACATTACAGGCTGAGACTTTAAGCGATAAAACCACTTAGAAAGTTAACAGAATTTTCTGTCCAGGGCAGCAATAGAGGTCAGATCACTTTTATTATTCTTGCCTTACATGTTTCGGTAATAAAAGTGAAGTGACCTCTATTGCCGCACTGGACGGAAAATTCTATTAACTTTCTAACTTAATAGTGCAGCAGACCAGAATGAGACAATTCAAGATAAAACCACTATTTATCCATCAGTGGTGATCAAAAGGTGTAGGTATACACATCAGCTCTTGTGAAACCACATCCCATCACGTAAGGTGTTACAAGTGGCCATCCCTGGCATCCATGCAAAACTATACGTGGGGAAGTCATAAAATTTTAATTATCACCCAGGTGCAAGAAATTGTATGTGAGTTAGTCCTTCTCTACATATGCCCCCTGCAAGGCCACACATTTTCCCCAGTGATGCATTAGCTGCTGGATATCTTGATCATAGCAGGTCTCGTTTTGACTGTTTAGGAAGTCCTCCACAGCACAAATGACATCATCATCGTCTTCGAATCGCTTACCACGAAGTGGCTTCTTTAGCTGTGGAAAGAGGAAGAAGTCACTCAGTGCCAGGTCTGGTGAATATGGTGGAGGGGGGAGAATTTCATATCCCAAACTGGCTGCAAGTGTTGTAGCATGAGCAGGTGCATTGTCGTGAAGAAGTCGCACACCTTTTCCCAGCATTTCACGTCACTTTTTCTTGATTTCCTCCTATAATTTTCTCAGAAGGTTCCTGTAGTACTCGCCAGTGATGGTGACACCCTTCTGCGAGTAGTTGGTCATGATGACATCCCGCTGATCCCAGAACACACTAGACATCGCCTTTCCTGACGACGGCTGGGATTTGGACTTCTTAGGTGGCAGAGTGTCTGCATGTTTCCACTGCTTGTTCATTTCCTTTGTTTCAGGGTCATAATGATAGACCCAACATTCATCTATCATGATCAGGCGGTCGAAAAATTCCACCTTTTCGTCTTGACACAACTGCAAAGTTTCTTTGCCACATCCATCCACTGATGCTTTTGAACTGGTGTCAACAATCCCAACGTGCAGTGACCTTTGCCATGTGTAACTCATCATGGATGTTGAAAACTGACCGATGGCTAATGCGGACCTCATGAACAAGAGCTTTGATAGTTATGCGCCTATCAAATGGGATCAAAGCCACAATTCCCAGTTCCTCAGTGAGAGATGGTCTTCCACTTCGGGGTTATCTTCGAGGTTTGTCGTCCACAATGAAAGTGCCTCTTCCACCTGACCACTGTGTCATGTGATGGTACACCTTCCTGATACACAGGGGTCATCTGGTCGCGGATCTCGCTGGCAGACTTCCCTTGTAAATGCAGGAACCGTATCACAGTGTGAGCCTCTACTTTCTCAACCGATGTCGCCATTTTGCTTCTGCCCCTTCTGGTGGCTCCCTCTGTCCACTTGGCATGGGAAAATTTGACTGTTCAGCAAGCTCAGGAAATGGGCTATCTCTTATATAGAATGATATTTTGGAATTATGATTTTCTCATGGTGATAATTAAAACTTTATGACTTCCAATTGTATTTCCCCATTTTTTCCAGAAGTAGCCAGCAGTCACATCCTCATCAGCCAACTGGAGTAAAATGGCAGTGAAAATTTGTAAGGCAAACCTGTGAGTGTGGTCAAAGAAAATAGCCCTGATAATATGAGTCTGGAAAGCAGTATACCACAAGAAAATTTTCACACTGAAAAGCCTCATGGGCTGCACATGGATTTTCTCACAACTATGAACGTGTATTTTGTGAATTCAGGTGCCTGCTAAGATGATACCAAGTTTCGTCTGTACACCATGTAAAATGCAGAATATGATTAATGGATAAACCATACATGAAAATGCATACATCTTTTCTTGCCCACTAGAAGTAATGCTTGGACCACTAACATAAAGGATGCAATACTACTTTCAATCAGCCCCCTGATGAATGGTGTTGGGTAACCAGGTCTCCTGTGAAAGACTATGCGATTACATGAAAGGTGAAACCTGCAGCCATTACTATTCTGTACATACATGACTGTATAATGGATAAAAGAATCATTTTGGTAGACAGCGGTACTAAATTGCTCAGGCAAATCAACAAGAACAGAACTGCCAAGTGTTACACAGATGACACTCTCCCCACTCCTGCTTTTACTGGTTTATTTACCCCTTTTAACGCCAGCTGTATGGCTTGGGGTCATCACAATATGACTTACAGACCATGTGGTACATCACCCAATCACTATCAGTGCTGTCAGTTAATACAAGTAATGGGTCAGATAAAGGAAACTGAATAAAAACCAATTATACATGGATAAAAGATTGCATCATTTGTGCCTTTCATCCATTTAATGATCAATCTTAACTTACAGGACCGCATCTGTTGTCTAGTGGCCAGAGTTCCTGGCTACAGATCCAGAGGTCCCGGGTTCGATTCCCGGCGCTACCAGATTTTCTAAGAAGTAGTGGGTCTGGAACAGGATCCACTCAGCCTCATGAGGATAACTGAGGAGCTATTTCAAGGAAATGGCTCACGTCTAGAAAACCGAAATTAACAGCCACGGGGATTCATTGTGCTGACCTCGCGGCACACTAACCGTTAAAGCTGGCACTATTCAGTTATTCAGTATAGAGGGGGGTGGGTTTCCCCATGCACCGCAACTAATAGTTTATTGTATGTCCCCCTTTAATTTCTACTGTCTCCATACCCTACCGATACTGGTGCCCACTATCTCCCCTTTCTGCCAGCGTGGTCGGCCCTTTACTGGCAGTGGTACCCGATAATTCTCCCCTTTCTGCCAGCGAGGTCGGCCCTCTACTGGCATTGGTACCCGATAACTTCCCCATCTACTGGAGGCATTGGAAACTACTTGGGCGGGAAACATTTTGCCTAATTTTGCTCAGGGGTCTCCTAGAGACATGAGGATCTTTTACGTGTCGTAAATCTACGACACGGGACCCACGGCTTAAAGTCCCTCCCAGAGGACTTGTTCCCTGAATTTTTCCGCCCCTAAAAATTCCACGACCTCTGCCGGGTTTGAACCCGTGTACCTTGAGTCATGAGGTGGAAACGTTACCCCTAGACTACAGAGGCCGCTAAAGCTGGCACTAACTTCAACAACAAGTGGTGGTCATTTGGTCGGTATAGTTCGCTTGCAGACTAAAGCCATGGAGTTTGTTTCTTTGTCTTAACTTACAGCCTGAAACTTCTACAGCCCTCTCTCAATCTTGCAATTTTTGACGAGAAAAAGTACAAATTTCTTGAAGTTTAGACAGTTATCACACTTCTGGGCGGATGTGAAACACAACTAAGAACAAAAAATCTCAACAAAACCAAGCAGCAGAAATTACATTTCAAGAAGTTTGTGGGGACAGACAATATGTACACATACACAAGCACAAAAGATAGAGAAGGAATTTATGCATTTATTTCATAGAATAACAGATGGGAGAGGGGGGAATCACTAACATATCTTGATGGAATGAATAATCATCTCCAAAACCTGATCAAAACATATAAGTGAACAAATCAAAACATACCTACGAAGCAGGAACAGACCTGATAAAAAAGATCCATGGAAAGCATAGGAAAGAGACCTGACTTTTATACCTATAAAACTAAGCAAATTCTAGCAGACTATCAGCAACTGCCTTACATCTCCATCCTTCCTCTGAGGTCAGTGTAGCAATAGCAAACTAAATTTGTATTTGAGATGTACCAAGTTAAGATTTTGGACTTCTAGCAATCCTGAGAATTTCCATAATTTTTCCTGACACTCTTCAGGAAATGCACAACCAGTAACTTCAAACATATCACAGCAATCTTCTTCCAAATCTTTACCCACTTAACTAACACTCATGGTTACCTTCCCACCTCATTTTATGGTATACAGCCTATGCAGTTAATACAGATCATTAAACATCTCAAGAATCAATAAATTCTCTATCCGTATTACAGTTTCTTATGGCGAGTTGACTCCCAGGTTATTAGAATGCGCTGTATCAGCCAGAGAAGCTATTTAACATCAAATGAGATGGTAGAACAATTATGTGTAGTGATCTTGTTGTCATGGACTAATTTAAGCTAATATTGCAGCATCTGCCTAAGATGACTTGACGGAAATCATGAAAATTTCAATTTAAATTTATT